TGCTGAGTCAGCATCCATACAATAATAATAAATAATAGGATAACATAGTATGAATGCTGACTCAGCATCCATACAATAAATAATAGGATAACATGGATGCTGAGTCAGCATCCATACAATAATAATAATAATAAATAATAATTGGATAACATAGTTTGGATGCTGAGTCAGCATCCATACAATAAAGACCAGGAAAACAAGGTATGGATGCTGATTCAGCATCCATACAATTGTTGCATTGAAGTGCAGACAGTTGTATAGGTGGTCATAACGTTATGCCTGATCGGTGTATGTTAGATGAATGCATGCACAAGCACCAGTAGCCTGCAATTTCCTGCGCATCTGCAGAAACGACTTTTATATCTTGTACTTTACTATAACTCTGTGATAATGAAGAAGTAGTTAACACCATAGACGCGTGTCTACGCTCGGAATAAGTTAAGTAGTAATCGTTATAACAAGTTGTGTGTGAAAATGACAAACCCATGTACAAGAGACCTAACATGAACTACAAATGCACAAACCCAAAGTTTTATTTTGAAGTGTGGAATAGAACCGGTAGTCCGTCTTCTTTGTTCTCGTAATTAGGTAGCTAAACGTTTCAGTTTAGTAGTAGATGCAGCTTCATTTTTTCGGTCACTGGCTAGCAGAAACGCCAGTGATACCCGTGGTGAATTAGCTTTGCCTGGAAGTTGACTTAATACTTAGAACGCAAAAACACGTTGGTGTTTTTACAACGCTATGCTGAAGTCGAGACACTTCATGGCATTAATCGATGCTAACCAGGAGGGCTCGCTAACCTTACTGTCTGACAGGCGAACTTAGCTAACGGCACCGAAGGTGAGCATTTATTTATCCATTTACACAGTAGCCACCCTATTTTAGAGACACTCGAAACAGTTTTTCCGAAATTTGATAAACTTGCTTTAGTTGCGAAACAGTCTTTCTTCTTAGTAGCATTAAAACCCACGGTTTAGCCAGGGCAATTATCAATAGCGGTGTAGCAAAATGGCATAGATGTTGACGTGGAATTGGATTTCATGGCTAAACCAGACTTAAATGTATTTTTTCTGTCTACAGGTACGAAGACTGGAGTAACGTGTTTCGGGCGACTGTGAAAAAGAACCTTGTCAAGCAGTGGCGTTAATGTTAGCTGGCGTTGAGCTGAAGGCCAGGTCAACTCTGCCAGTTCATTTGAAGCTAGCTGAAGCGAATGCGCTTATAAAGCAAAGCGCCATTACTGGAAACTACTGTAGAGGAAGCCAAGCTAATCCATGGTCATGTAGACGAGAAGCTTGACTTATCAATGCTGTGACTTCATTTTCATAAATGTAAGGGTGGGGTCACCCTTTCTCATTGTTGGACTGCTCAAAACACACCCGCAGGCGTGTCCATGGCCTGAAGACATTATTTAGTCCTAGCCTGAACCCTTGTGAACAAGTATTACCACTTAACCCCTGGACTGGCAGTACATGCATACTTTTCTCATAAGGTCACAAAGCTGCTCATCTGACGCAAGGAAGAGCTGTGAACGGAGTGTGTGCTGACTTTAATTTAACTCCACCAAATTCAGCCATAAAGCTATGACTATGGTAGACAGAGCATGGGGGTGGGTGCGCTCTTGGGGCAGCACTTCTGTGTCAGGGAATATCACAGTGGTTACAGCTGAGGCCCAGAAGCATGGCTGTGGTAGTCAGGGCCTAAGGGGCTGGAGCTCTTGGATGTGGAGAGGTTGGAAATGTCAGAGTGACAAAAGTAGTCCAGTAGAAGAGTACTGGGAGGCGCAGGAGAAGCTTCAGCCAATGGAAATTGAAGATCTCAGTGCGGAGAAACATGTGACACAGGCAAATTCAGAGAATATTTCTAGTTGGTGGAATAAATATCTCCCAACTTCTTACCTTTCATGGCCAAGAAAAACAAGGCCAGGTGGACTAAGACAAAGGAAACATGATACAAGGGGAGGTGCGTGTGACCACAATATCGACGGGGACTTGTCTGACTACAGGACGCCACCTCCGTCCCCTACACCTCCATCTTCTCAGTTGATATCTCCTTTTCGATTCTTTATGCACAGCTGGAATGTGGAAGTGCTGCCAGAGCACTATGAGATCTGTTTCAACTTCCTACGCCACTTGTTTGACCTGTTTGTTGTTGGCTTTCTGTGGACTGTGTCCCCTCCTGCCAAGCTGATCCTGGAGGTGTTGGGGGTCCAGGGCACAATGAGACTGTGGTTTCATGGTATGGCCATGTTTTTTGTCTCCACAGTCGGAATGGCGGGATTACTCTGGTTGATCCAGGAGTATCTTCCTCAGTTTGCTTTGATCTATGGTGTCGTACAGGCATTGGTGATCTCTGTCAGTATTCGACAGAGTGTAATGCTCAACACTGAGGAGGAAAAAGAAGGAAAGGACAAAGAAGGCAAGGAAACTGATGAAAAAACAGAGTAGGGAACGAAGCTTTCCTGTTAAGGACAAGGTGAAGACCACTTAAAATTAACGTAAGCACATGTAACCCCTTTTGAGAAAAAGTACTTTTTTTAATGGGTCACAAACACTCATCCATTCTAAATAGCCTAGTATTTTAACCTTGTCGGCTAATGATTGGTCGGTTTTTGGTAAGGAAAAAAAAGCTGAAAGTATGCATCTCTACACAGTATAGAAATATTTGCATGCCGTGTAGTGCTGTGTTGTTGGATGTTACAGGGATTGTGACATGCAATTGCAGATCCCCAAATTTTTTATGAGTTAATGCATCTCATGGTGTGTTGCTTATTTTATTACAGTTTTTCTAAAATTTGAATTAAAAAAAAATCTATATATTGCCTTGTATCACAGTATATTGATTCATAACCCCCCTATCAGCATATCTCTAAATTCTTGCCAGTACACAGCCCTATGAGATTAGAACTGGGCAGTACACAGTAAATACAGTGGAACCTCAGTTTTCGTATGCCTTACTTTTCGTATGATTCGGTTTTTGACAACTTTTTTTGAAATTTTGTCCCAGTTTTTGTACATCCGCTCAGTTTTCGTACAGTTGATTGGTTGGTTCATCGTCATTAGTCCGTACCAAACTCGTCCGCCTGCCCACGTGACAAGGCCACTCTTCCCGGAAGAAATGAGTGAAGATAAGTAACCCCGGATGGGGCCTTGATACATGAAGTCCTTATAGAGGGGGATTCCCCTTCCAAACAATAACCTCTCCTCCTCCCTCTCCCCTCCTCACTGTCTTCCATACACCAACAAGAGTCTTCAATAAAGGTAAAAGTGAAAATGTTCATTTATCCATTTCATTAGTCATTTATATTTATTTCTCATTGTTTTCTGTATGTAAAAATATAGTTATTCTCTATAAAATGTATTTTTTGTTAATATTTTTGGGTGTCTGGAACGGATTAATTGGATTTACATTATTTTTTATGGGAAATATTGCTTCAGTTTTCGTACATTCGGTTTTCGTCTGACTTTTTCAAATGGATTAATCACGAAAACCGAGGTTCCACTGTATAGAACAGCAGTTTTCGCACACAATTACATTGTAATTGGGGTAGTAGCTTGGAGGTCGTGCTTTTATAATTTGTTTTTAAATTAAATATAGTAATGCTGTAGTGCTGTTCATCTGACCTGACCCTTCTGCTCTCCCTCTCCCACAGCAGCAGCATGTTGGCTGCTGCCCTCCTCCTACATCTCTCTTCAGCTCGAGATTAGCGATATTGTTTTGTTGTTTATGGAGCCACATTTCCTTTGTTTTGTTGTTTGAATGAGAGCAGGCTGTTGCAGCAGTGGAGACAGGGAGCCCAGGAGAAACTAAAGTCTGCCAGGAGCATGTAGGGGATCAGTTAGGTTGCAAACAAACAGCTGCCTGTTCAGGCTGTTTAAAAGTAAGTGCACCTGAAATGTCTCTAATAATCCCTGTTTGGAATGGAAAACAGTGTTTGCACAACTAGAAGAGTGTAGGTCAAAATTGCAAGCAGAAGGCAGGTCTGTAAATTGTAATGGAGTTTTACAATCCATCCATCCATCCATTTTCCTCCGCTTATCCGGGACCAGGTCGCGGGGGCAGCAGTCTAAGCTTGCTTGCTTCGCTTTGCTTTGCTTGCTTTGCTTTGCTTAGTTTTACAATAGTTTTGTTTATAATTCAGTTATTTAACCGTGGCCACGTAGTCCCACTTGGAGCATCAGAAGAGCTATGTATGGCTGCTCTTTGTGGATTTTAGCTCCGCATTCAACACCATCCTCCCCCACAAACTGGTGGACCTGGGAATTCCATATCCCACCTGCATATGGATTAAGAGCTTCCTGTCCGGACGCAGCCAGAGGGTGAGACACATCCACGGCTCTCAACCTCAGCACTGGTTCACCACAAGGCTGTGTGCTGAGCCCCCTGCTCTACACCCACCACGGCAACACCATTGTAAAATTTACTGATGACACTATGGTGGTGGGGCTTATCTCTGGGGGGGATGAGACTGCCTACAGGGATGAGGTGGAGAGGCTGATAGTGTGGTGCAGAGAGAACAATCTGCTCCTTAATACCTCAAAGACTGAGGAGGTCATTGTCGACTTCAGGAGGAAGAACTGTTATATGTTATGTTTTTTTCCTCTATTGCTGTACTGACTGGAGGTCGCTCTAAATTTCATTGTATGTGTTACAATGACAATAAAGGATTATCTGTCTATCTTATCTTCCAAGTAAACTTTACCAACCTGGAGGTTAGTTTCCAATCTGATCGTCTTGACTGCGCCAACTTTTTTTTTTTTTTTTAACCCGTTGGACTTGATCAGCTGTTTATTAATAGAGTTGTTCTTTCCACAGATCCTGAGAAGTTGCTGCCTATGTAGCAGCCCAGCTATATCAGACCTCCTCAAGACGTTTGACATCACAGTTGTAGGACTTCAGAGACTGCTTTACTACACAACTGTGCTCTGTAGTATGACATCACAAATGTATTGCTCATTCATTACAGACTCCTTGAACTTAGAACACTATTGATAAGCATTTTATATATGCAAGCCCCACTGACTGTATAAAAGATGGACAGCCTGACAGCTCCCTGGTTGCAGTATGGGTCATAAATTCAATCCCCTCCATGTTAGTGGATGGTACATGAGCCGAATTAAAAAGTCCAAGTAAAAAATTAAATACATTTGTTCCAGAGGTAATTTCTCGCATTTTTGGTAGATCATCATGCCAACATGTACAAGGGGTCATTTTTCTGGTATCGTTTTAATTAGTAATTTGATCATATAGAAGGTGGTGTATCTCAGATGATTTGACAGGTTTGATTGGCGGTCTGATGCATCACTCAGCTACTGTGGCTGCAAAATGCCAAGAACGCAGCCACCATATTCACAATGTATTGGGTTCCTATTTGAATTTTTGTGGGGGGATGAAAGTGGTGATGTGTCATCCATATTTACATACAGTCAGTGGTCTGTCCCCACTTGATCTTAATATTGCCACCAGAATGTAGACATTGATAGCTGTACAAAGTTTATCAAAATGTGTACTACTGCTACTGTAAACAGAGGTCAGAAACAATGAGGACCATGTTTAGGAAATAAAAAAAGATAACCAGTACTTATGAAATATTATTTAATCCTGTTTACATCTTATTTCTTGTTCTGGGGTTCTTCATATGTTGCTAAAGAGATCCGAGATCAAATGAGTAATCTGGGATTTTCTAATGCCAGCTCAGGTTATCTACATATTTTGGTTCTACAACAGTACTCGACACATCACTGTCAATATTTTATTAAAGGTTATTCAACATAAATTCTGTTGCATAATAATGTTGAAACAGCGTAGTAATGGTCAAGGGAAGCCCTTTTCTGATTTCAGAAGGAAAATACTGGTGATTTTCAAGCACTAAATGTTGTCTTGTCTGAAGATGTGACCACCAGCCTTGGCACAGTCAGCTGGTCACAGCCATACTGCAGAGCGGCATGTTGATTTAACTGACAGATGAGAGGCGGTGTTAAACACGAAAACTAGGCAAAAGCAACATTCAAGATGTAACACGCTGCCAAATGAATGGAGCTTATCTAGAGATAGCTCCTTAGCCATCCTACCCTTGATGGTGTTGCTTTTCCCACTGGCTTTGCTGACAAGGCGAAAGCAAGTGAAGCAACAGAACGAGTGTTAAAAGCCTTTTGCCCAAAAGAACATATTCAGATATAACCCCTTTGTAATTGCCAACAATTTAACTAATTACATATTTTTTTCAGCAACTGATTACATTTATTTTGTAATTTACATGTAACTAGTTGCTTCCGGATGGCAAGTGCGTCTGGACTCGGCCCACACCTCGTCTTAGGAATGCAGTAATACACTGTAATGAAGTGTATGTTTCCTACTTTGAAAGGTGTTTTATACTTATCAGTAAATAACAGGCAAGATCCACCTCTAAACCAGGATGGTGTGATTTAAGCTCTGATTCGGGCAAAAATCCTGTTAACCAGTTTTCCATAATTTGTTCTTTCTGTAGTTAATATTTTAAAATTAAGAATCCATACTTCCCATCTCCCCATACTCATTGGGATAAGTTATATTTAATTGTTTTCTTCTTGATTATTAATAAAAAGCATGAAATTCAGTTCTCTCTCTTCCTTCTAAGTGTATAGCCAAGGTCATGGTTTTGACAAGAACTCATTGTTCATACTTAAGGTTAAAATTTGGTCTATAAATTATGAATAATTGCTTGTCATAAAATACATACATTTTGGTCATTCCACTGTTAATGGAACTGGTGCTCTGAGGTAGTAGTTTGATCTGCCAAACAGACAGCCACTACACTGCTATGGCACTCTATACAAAGGATGGATTAGAGTTTTTAAAAAAGGTGCAAACACATTCATGCACAGGTTCTGTAGTTATTTTCCACCACAGCAGAGGCCCACATTTCAGTTCAGTGATACTTCCAGTTTGCTATGTATTCCATTAAACACAATTGGCCATGTTTGAGGGTGGGAAGCCAGTGACGGTGATCATTCTTATCAGTTCAGACAACAGATGGAGATGTAGCTTGTTGCTAGTGATTGGCTCTGTAGTACATGGCCTCAGCATTACAGCTAAACAAACTGTGTGCTGGCATGCTTAACAAATAGCCTGATTCGATGCAGGACATCAAACTGATCTGCAGACAAACAAAATCTTGAAGCACATCTCCCCATCTTTTAGGCACATTGGTTTTATGAGTTTAATGAACTCTCCATTGTGGGTCTGGATAGATGATGAACAGACAACGGTCTTTGTTCTCTGGTATGCAGTAAATTCCACAAACACAATGACCCTTCTTCCTCCTCCTCATCCAGAATTTAATTCCCTCCCTTTACAAATTAATGTTTAAAATCCTACATTGTTTATGTTTACTAGTTACCAGGCTTCTTCTTCACTACATTTGTGTGATGCATGACTAAGCTTCTTGGAGTAGCTACTGATCAACAGAGCAGCTTGAAACCAGCACAAAAATGTCTATTACTTTCTCCACATGCCTGCACATCCGCACACACATTCTTTTCCCTGTGCAACAACACCCTGGGGGCCCATTTGTAAAATAAAAACATGCACCATAGCAGTACTAGTAGTCAAAAACCCCACATGGTGGCCTTCACCCAACATGGGAAGAGTTAAAGCTTGCTTTATTTACAGTATTTCACCACTGACTGGACAAAAAGAAAATATGAACATAGGAGTCATTTTTGTGTAAGAATTCAATCCAAAATACATCAGCATTTTATAAAACACAAAATAACTATATAATCTTCACTTTCTTACAGTGCTGCCAGGATCGAACTGAGTCAGCAAGAAAATTCAGGTGTGATCATTGCACCTTGTTTCTCTTCCTCCTGTCAGGTGTGAGACTTCTGTCGTTTCCAGAACCTCTTGACCTCACCGTGTCCCTGTGGTGTCACCACCATCATCCTGTGAGCCACATCCTGCCACACCAGACAGTCCAGATCCTGCACCAAAACAGCTTCATAAGACAACAGCAGGCTACTGGAGAAACACACAGTATCAGCACCACTGTAAAGCTTCTTCCCCACGGCCCGAAAAAGCCATGTAACCCGCCACACCTTGGCTTTTGACCACAGTAGTACTGTAACTACTGGGATAAATGACCCAGGACAAATAACTCTGCAATCGACATGGGTCATTGTCCGCTTTTCCTCGGCACACCTCAACTTGGAAACAGTGAGAAAGCCAAACTCGGCATTTGCATGATGCAGCAATGATTAACTGGTGAGTGCAATGTCAACATAACACATACAATGAAATCTAACCCAAACCATTACCGCCAACTAAAGATGTCACAGGTGTCCATTTTTTTTTTATTTATAACTCAAAAAAAGACCTTTAAAAGCCTGACACCCTCTCACATCTAAAGACAATGTGTCCGAGTTTTAATCATAGACTGGGGATCGTGCAGGGTCACTATTTGCAGGACTGCAGCTGGATTTCTGTGTGTGCACAGTGTTGTTCTTGGAAAAAACTGTCAAAAAAGACATACAGAAGACACAGCAGAATGTGGACACGACCCTGTCTGACTGAAAGGGGACAGCGAACAGAACTGTGCCTTCTGAGGCACAGAGTCACCTGAGCCTCTGTCATATTTACCCATAGATATATGATGCATTTACCGCTGTTGGCCGCTATGCTGCTTCCACCTATTGGTTGTTTACAATGTTCATGTCACTTTCTGCATGAGCCAAGACTAAAGCCTTGGGATAATGTTAAACATTCTATCGGAAAGTAACTTGCACTAACTTACACCTTACACTAAATGACTGAAACAACGTCAGCGCAGCTCGCCTGTAGCAAGACTCAATGTTATTCTGACACTGGAAATGTGTCTGCGACTAGAAATCGCTTGAAAAGTCGGTATGTGTAAGGCCGGGGCATTAGTCATATAGTGTCTGTGTGATTTTAGTACTGTAAAAAAAACCTGGAAACGTTCTGTGTGTAACTGTAGCATTAACTGGGTATAAAGCAGCAATGATCAATATGAGCACAACATACAGAAACAATGTATAAACCTAAACTGGTTATAAAATTCATATTATGTTGATTAATAAATATATTATTGTGTTATAAAAGAAAATCCAACCTGAGCTCGGTCTCGCAGCACCTCAAAGTCAGCCTGGGAGAGGAACTGGTTATAGAGCACGCCTGAAGGAGACACAATCAACAATACATGGACAGGTGAGAAAGGCCATACAACCTCTATACCCATGATCTCTGTTACCGTGTACAACTCAGTAGGAGACAACACTAGAGTTCAACTATACCCACTGAGCTCTATGAACGAAACGAGGCCAACATCCATCAGCCACAGTGTTATACTGAAAGTATAGCTTTGCAGGTGTGGAGGAAAGTCTATCAAATCAAGTGTAACATTAAGTGATGTTATTTATGTCTGTGTTCAGTGTTGCTGTCTGGCTGCTGCCTCTGTTATGAGTATGGCAGAGGGGACACAGAGGACATTCTTCCATGCACAAGGATGTTATATCTACATAATCTGACTGACTTGACTGTAGGGACGTGTTCTCTTCTCTGAAGGCCTCATTTCGTTTTCTGAAAAAAGCAGAATAATGTGCTCGACCAAAAAGCTCTATTTTAGTCTCATCTGTCCACAGGACATTTTCCCAGAGGGACTGTGGCTTCCTCAGGTCAGTTTTAATAAACTCCCTTCTGGCTTTTTTATGGTTTCCTTCAGCAGTGGGACCCCCCGGGTCTCCTACCATAGGGTCCTTTGTCATTCAGATGGTGACAGATTCGGCTTTTTGTGTTGTTCCAAAGCAAACAAAATAAACATGAGAATACCAAAGAATTTGTGATTGCAACAATTTTCTGGGAGAAGTGGTGTGTTTTAAAATAGGGGAAATTAAAAATAAAGGCCCATTATCAACAAACATCTATTTTACAGGCACTTGAACAAACATGCTCACCCTCTGAGAAATGTAGTCGATCTCTCTCCAGCTCCCACAGTCTGATCTGATCTGTTATGGTTGGAGGCAGCACAGGGGTCTGAAGCACAGAGATGGAGGATGAAAACACTGTGACCCATTAAAAGCCAACAAGTCAGAATGATTAGAGTTAAAGGTCACATACTATGCAAAATTCACTTTGTTAGGTTATTTCTTAGTTAGATAGATATGGATTAGAGATCTGTTGTCTAGAAATGTTAGTGGAGACAGATTGACTAGCTCAGGCTGTTAACTGTGCTTGCAGTGCAGACTGCAGGCACGTCAAGGTTACAGGAAAAGAGCTGTTAGGGTCAACTGTAATGCTAGTCTTAATATTTGTCTTAATGTGTAAGGTTATGTCCAATTGTTTAGATACACACCACGAAAACAACAGTCACGCACCTTGACTTTTCCTCATGTTTTGGCTAAACGATGGAGCAGCTGCAAAGCTTGCTTATCGGGTGGCGTCACGGTTTGACGCCCCTTGTAGCATGGGCTAGCCCAAAAATGATTAATATTATATAGGTTGTTGGGTCCAGACATTTTCAGCTTTTCTGCTGCCTGCAGGCAGAGGGGTGAGAGAGCTCTGGACGTGTAATGTGAATTTTACCTGTGATCCTCTGAATAAACCAGCACGGTTATTTTTTATAAAATCTAAAGCAGTCTCTTTCGTCTCATTGAGCGTTCCTGGTTTGAAAGAACCGGAAGAAGCTACAAAGAAATAATAGCTTATAACTTGTAGAGCATTTTCTGACATTCAGCTAAAACAAAGCATCTGAAACATGGGTGAAAAGAGGGCTTGGCGTTAATGGCGCTCTAAGGAAACTAATGAACTTTATGAATGTACAAGGGTGTAAACGCTTTCTAGTAGAACCTTTAAACAACAATATAAACCTGAAAAAGAGCATCACTTGTGACCTTAAAGTGTGAGAATAAATGGTAGATGTAAGGTACCTGTTTGAGCATGACAGGATGAGCTCTGGTTCTGAGAAAGTGAATAATCTGCAGAATGAGAAAGACATTAAATAGATTCAGGTGGATTAAACAGTGTTTAAGGAAAATCTCAGGCATACTTGACTAAGATATGTTTTTTGGTTTACAAGAAAGAGTATACATGTTTACATTTGTAATTACTGACTTACTAAATACTCATCCCTATAATGAATTCTGAAGCAACACTATGAATGAAAAAAAGAACAGTTGATTCTTTATCTCTGATAACAGCTCTGGCATTCTCTAAACCCACTTCATGTGGTTGTCACCTGGACTGCTTTTCCAGTAGTCTCGCTGGTGTTCCCAGTAAGCACTCATGGGCTGCTTCTCTTCACTCTATGCTCCAGCTCATCCCAAACCAATTCAAATGAGTTTGGGCTGGGTAACTGTGGAGGCCGGGTCATCACTCTCCTTGGTCAAATAGTCAAATAGTCCTAATGTAACCTAGAAGTGTGTTTTGTTTCACTTCACTGTCCTACTGAAGAACAAATGATGGTCCCACTAACGGTGCAGTCACACACAGGGATACAAAGCAGCAGAATGTACCCGGTCTTCTGTAGCTCTGGTGTTGTGTTCCGCAAGTCATTTACATAGTGTACTCTGACTGGACAGTTATGTTCTAACGTGTCTGCCATACTAATGGTGTAACTACTCATCATGATTCAAAAACAACATTCCTTATGAAATAGGAAACTGGATCACAATATCAAGTCGAGATTACCATGGTAAATGGTCTTATATGTGCTTTTCTATGCAATGAAGTACACCCAAAGCACTTTTCCATTCACCCACTAACGCACACAGGCATTCACACACTCACACACTGATGGCACAGCCACCAGGAGCAACTTGGGGTTCAGTGTATTGTAAGATTTGAGTCTTATAGACTCTAGTTACTTTATCAGCTTTAGTTACTTCTCATGCCTTTAGTTCCCTTTAGTTACCTTTCATAACTTTATCTTACCTGATTACAGCTGTATTGATTATTGTGCATTACTGAGCCCTGGTTATTTTCTAATACATTTATTCTCCTTGCTTATATGTCTTACAATTGTAATGAGGTAGAATCTACTTACTTTCTGCAACTTCTGAATGTCTGCATCCCCCAGGCAACCAGACGACCTGTATTTACATTTTAACAAAGCCCCGCTAGCCCACACCTGGATACACATAGCATATCCCAAGTTCTGCCCCACCAGGGGGTGTCTTACACACACAGGGGGTCTCATCACCTGAGATGACCACTTGGCCAGTTTGGCATACTTATTGTCTACACACCCAGGGGGGCTCACCACCTGAGACACACACACACACACACACAGACACCTGGGGTAGATCACATTCCAGCAAGGAGGGGTGAGCTCCGGTCCACCAATTGACCAATAGGATTACAATGAACCTCCTCCAGCAACATGTTTTGGAGACAACCAAACAAGTGCTGGCTGA